GGCGCGGGAGCCGGCGCCGGGGACCCGCAACTCGTGGCCATGATCGTGAACCACCTCAAGAGCCAGGGGCTCTTCGACCAGTTCCGCAGGGACTGCCTGGCCGACGTGGACACCAAGGTTCGGGGCGCGCGGGGGCCGCGGGCGTGCGGGGAGCGGGGACGACCTGTGTCGGTCTCCCGCGTGTGTCGATGGGCCGGCGGCGCCTCAGCTTCCCCAGCCGGGGCCCCTCTGGAGCGCGCCTCTCACCGGGTTGCCTGTGCAGCCGCTTCCTCTTTGAGCTGCTGCTCGGTGCCCGGCTCTGTGCGAGGCGCGCTGCTCTCATTCATTCGCCTGTCGTTCCGTCTGCGTAGCAGACGAGCTTAGTTAAGCACCTACTACGTGCCGGGCACTGCTTAGGTGCCGGGAATGTAGGAGTGAGCAAGACGAAGTCATTGTTCTTTTGGAGACTCGTTTGGAAACACTAACGCTAACAGTGCTGTCATTTCTGATTATTTTTACCCCCAGTACATTCTATCCAAATTATTTTTGCCTCCCCTCTTGAAGATTTCTGGTAAGGGTCATGCCTTTGCCCTTTGGACAGATTTCTAAGTGGTAATGAATCAAATTATTTGCTTTGTAGCCAAGTCATTTTTGCCTCCTCTCAGGAAGATTTCTGGTAAGGGTCATGTATTTGCCCTTTGGAGAGATTAAGCGGTAATGAATCAAACTGTTTGCAGTGTGTGTTACTGGACATTGTGAGGGCTGCAAAGGTAAGGAGGCAGAGCTGGACGGTGAAAAGGTGGGCTGGGGAGAGCAGGACTTTTGTTTCTACCAGTGACTCCGACTTAGGTAGCTTAGACCAAGTCACTTCTCTGAAGTGAGAAGGGAGAGGAAGTGGGATGAGGGGTGAGGAGAAGAGAACTGAGGAAAGAATGGAAGACAGATGACAGCAGATATTGAAGTGGAAAAAAAGACTGGACAAAAGAATGCTTTTGGGAGAGTAAAGGGTAGAGGGGGAAGGTCAGCAAAGTGATTCCCTGTACAAAAGGAGTTTGGAGCTAGGAAGGGGAAGGGATTTTGTACCACATGTCAGAGTGGAAAGGGCATTAGCAGAAACAGGTAGACTTAGCTGGTTCAGCTAAGAATGAGTAGAGGACACCCGGAAGGAACATTCAGGGAGATGGTGGAAATCCAGTAGGGTCTGGAAGTCTGGAAGAAAATGAAGCAGGAAGGTTCAGTTGGAAATGGCTGGGAAATTGGAGGGGGTTGTTTGTTTGTTTGTTTTACTTAGCTCTGTTTTGATTCACTGATCGAAAGTTTTGATGAGGTGAGCGTTTTCTCATAGCATGTTCAACTCTTCTAAAGAACCATGTTTCTTTGAGAAAAGGGTCCAGGCTTTGAGGTGAACTCTATACAATTTTGCTATCTTCTCTGGGAAAACTTACCTGAAAATCTGGGGGCATCTTCCCTTTTAAAAACTCTGGCCCACCATGTAGACCAGAAGTAGAATGTGCCTTTTGGAGGTGTCAGAGTTTTTGCACCACATAGAATTCAATTTACTTGGGGATGTTCATCTATGTAGCATGTGTATAGTCTTCTCACTTTGTTTTAAGGAATATGCACAACCAACTTTTGAAAATAATGCCTATTGCCTCTTCATTCCCTCTCTCTTCCTTCCTTCCTTCCTTCCTTTCATGGGACATGGCCAAGTAAATGTGACTCAACTAAATAAAGCTGATTATGTACACAGGCAAGTAGAGATTTCACTTTGCTGTTCTCAGAAACCTACAAGTCTGTGTATTATTGTGTATGCAGATTGAAAATTAAAATATACCGAAGAGACGTGGGGGGCTGCAACATCTAACGCTCAATTTTTTCTTCAGCTCCAACCCCGCTGAATGGTATTGTTGTGTTTGTAATATCCCTGCCAGATCCTTTAAAAGCAGAGTCCTAAAACATTTGGGGGGGACACATTAAAATGTAGCCCCAAGATTCAGCTAACACGGAGGCTCCTCTACTGTAGACCCAGTTCCCAGGTCCTTGGAGCAAGCTAAGAGATTATAAAGCCTTTCTGACCCCTTTGCACTGATTAGAGCCTGTCTCTCAGTCCCAGGCAGGAAGCTCACTGACTAAGTCAATTTGGCACCTCTCCTTAGGTAATAAGGGCCAGTTTGGGGGTACTTTTTCAGTTATGAATGGCTCCCAGTCACTGTGATTATTGAATCCTTTTTAGATTCAAAAGGAATATCAAAGGCAGAAGTATATAGTTTATTCACCCAACAAATAGTTGCAATGTACCAGGCATTGTTTTAAGTGCCAGGGATACAGCAGTGAACAAAAAGTGCATCCTGATAGGGAGCTTGAATCCCAGAAAAGAAAAACAGACAATAAATAGTGTGTGAGAAGTTCTGTGGAAGAAAGAAAGCAGGATGAGGGGGAAAGGTTTGCTGATTTGAGTGAGTTGTTCAGGGAAAGATTTCAATAAGATGACATTTAAGCCACTACTGAAGGAGCTGAAGGAGCTGAAGGAGCTGTCCAGTTCTGGAGGCTGAGCACTCCAATTCCAGGAAGAGACCGGCAGCAAGTGTGGAAGGCCCAGGGCAGCACCTGCTGAGGGAGAAAGTGATAGAAGGTGAGGTAGGAGTGTCCTTGCCCCCTCGCTTCGCAGATCTGTCAGGCCATGGACGCCATCGGAAGAGTTTAGCTCTTACTGAAGCTGAGAGGCCATTGGCAGGTGTAGAGCAGAAGATGGATGTGATCTGACTTTCATTTTGGATGGCTTGACCACATGTAATTTTCAACAGCGTCCCTTTAACATTCAGTCATGATTTGGTTTGGACAATAAATTATATGGTTACCCTAATCTTAGGAGATTTGCACTAGCACTGTGGGAAATAGACTTCAGACAGGCAAGGATGGAAGCAAGGAGGTCCATAACTCTAGGCAGGAGATGAGAAAGCTCTGGGCCAGAGTGGTAGCAGTAAAGATGGCAGGAAGTGGTCAGATTCTGGCTGTATTTTGATGCTAATGATGACAGGATTTGCTGTTGTTTTGAATATGGGATGGAAGAGAAAGGGAGGGGTCAAGGGTGACTCCAAGGCTTTTGACCAGAGCTCCAGAAAAGGAAGGAGATGCATAACTATTCCCAGGAGAACAGCGGAACTCAAGCTACTTCTCTCATCACTAGGCTTTTTACCAAAAGGAGAACCTAGAAACCAGGAAAATTACATGCAGTAGTTCAAATTGAAGCTTGTTGTGGGGCAACTGGAATGCTAACTGCATTGTGATGTTTGAGCCTAATGCTTCTGAATTTGGAAACACTGGGGAGAAGAATTAAATTTTAGAATCATTGAGGGGGGAATTAATTTCAGTTTACATTGGTTTTAGATAAGTGGAGAGGAATATGAGAAATGATCGTGAGCCCGTTTTTGGTAGGATAGAGAATAGGTATGAGCAAAAGTCTGGAAATTGGAAGAGATGAAGGGCTCTCACAAAGGGATAAAAACTTTATCATCTGTGTTGCCTTGATTATTACCCAGTCCTCTCATCTAACAACTGCTTTTTAATTGCTTATCTGCCTGACAGTGTGAAAAGTTGTGTGAAATCAAAGATACAAGCTTGTTCCTGTGGGAGGAACAGGCTTACGTGTCAGTAGGGAGATAAATATTCCCTACTCCCCACAACATAGAATTACTTGAATGATAGATGGAACATGGGGAAAAGTCCTACCTGGGGTGTCAGCTTGACTTCACAGATTAGGGTGAGCTCTGAAGATGAGAAGTTTGCCAAATGACAGGGACAGGGAGTGGTAGGTGCACAAGATTAAAGGGGTGAGAACTTATCACTGGAGAATAAGCTTTGATGGATAAGGGAGCAAATAGCAGAAGATGAGGCTATACAGTTTCACTTAAAATCATTTGAGAATACTCAAACTCATCTATGTTAAAAGCCACCTAAAAGAAAGATTAAAAAAAAATAAATAAAAATAAAAAACATGAGTAGTAGGGGCAACTTCCAGGAAGAAAGTTTGCAGTCCTGACTGAGCAGTCAAACATCCTTCTAGGCAGTGTCCTGTGAAGCAGAGATGACACATGTATTCTCTCTCTCCTCCTTCCTTTGTTCCGGGAGTGCTCGGCCTTAGCACAGCTGACATTTTGGGCTGGATAGTTCTTTGCTGTGGGGAATTGCCCCGTGCACTGTGTGATATTCAGTAGCATCCCTGCCCTCTCCGCACTAGATGCCAGTAACAGCTCCCCTCACCTGTGATGATCAGAAATGTCTCCAGACATCGCCAAATGTCCCCTGGGGTGAGAGTGGGGCAAAATTGCTCCCAGTTAAGAACCAGTGCCTTACGTCAAATTTAATGCCTAGTTCCAGTAGTTGACCCTTCATAATTTCTCTTGGAGCCATGCCTTTCAGCCCATTTTCACCATCCCAGTACAGGCCTTCAGTATTCTAGTTATTGCGTACTTTCCTAAATATATTTTGTCTCAGTTTCCCCTTTCACTGTAGGAAGATTAATCATCAGAAAGCTCGGCTATCACATAGCACTCTGTATGTGCAGGGGGTTCCCATTTTCTCTCCCATAATTCCAGACTTCTTATACAGGTACCCAAATCCTTCTAGACTCTGGCCCCAAGCTATGTCTCCAACCTCATTGCTCTACTTTTTTGTATTCCCTTCTCCACCTTAACAATGTGGGGCTCCCTAATGCTCCTGACCCCATGTTTTCTCATCTACTTGCTCTTTGTGTATATTGTTGGCCATACTGGTAACGCCTGCCTTTCCTAATCCCAGTTGCACTGTGAAACCCTGAAGGTCCAATTTAGATGCCATGCTCTCAATGGAGGCTTACTGCCTCTGCTCCTCTCCCTTTCTTTGCTCCAAATCATCTAACAGTAATACTTACTGGTATCTTATTTTCTAGTCCCTTGTCTTCAAATAAGAGATACGTTTGTCTTC